CGGCGAACGGGATGAATTAACTGGGTACATACTGCAATGACTTACACGAACCTTATGACAACGCTAAGGGTCGCTTGCCCGCTCAGCTCAACACATCGGCATAATGGATAGGATTCTGGAACTTTCATCATACTGATTGATCAGGAAAAACGTTACCGAAATGCTCCAAGCGCTCTTAAACACTGTCTGGCCAGGAGTTTAAATATCAACAGGGGTCCTTGTGCGTTGGCGAGTGTCCGTGGGTTTGAGAGAGCATGCACCATCCTAAACACCAACATTACTTTTCCGACGCAGACGACGCACGGATCTAAGAAAGATTGCTGATTAGCTGAGAGGTATGATTGATTCTTTTAATTCAATTACTTCGACTAACACTGTACGGAACACTTTGAAGAGCAACTTAGTTCGCCCTGTGTATTAGCATTACTACTTTGGTCGCTTAAACCTAGCTGGGACCTTGACATGACATTCACACTATCAGTGGGATCCGATCCGAGCTATTGCTCTTAAATCGGAACAAAGTGCCCGATCGGCGGTGTGGCTCGATAAGCAGTTATTGATTTAATCAGCTTCGTTCGGAGTGGAGCGGGTAATTGTCTCTGTGTTCCGGAGATGTAAGGATTACCTAGGAAATCCACTATTTTAGCGGTTAATCGATTATTAACGATTATCGCATCGATTTCGAACGTTCCGGAATGTTCTAGTCTCTACACGTGACTAAAAACCATCTGACACCTCGACAAAGATATGGAGAACTATTAACCTTAGTAGCTGACCTTCCAATTCTAGGAGTCGAAGGTCAGTAAGGGACTTATAAACACAGCTGAGGTCCGCGGTAGCTGTGCGGTGTTTGTTGACGACGATTAATAGGTTAGTTTGTCAAGGTCATTGGCGTTCTGCATTTTCCTTCGGTTGGGCTAGAAGTTTTGTGGAGCAGTAAAGTGTCAATTTCGGAATCGCGTCTAGTGATAAGATTATAACAAATGGCGACGGAGAAAATTGGAAATGTGATGCATTTTCTGCTGAACAATTTCAAAAGCTGCTTCTCCAACAGCAATCTCAAATGGAGGCACAAATGAAAATAATCGAAAATCGGACACAATGCTTGAGTTTGCAGACAACAGGAGCAGCGACACAGGACATGCAGGCGGGTTCTGTTGATCTTTCATGAATGCAATAACTGAATTCAATTATGACGCGGCTTCTGAATGCACATACGAAGCGTGGTTCAAGCGCAACCTCGGAGTAAGTGAACATTCAAGGTTCATAGACTATATTCTGTCCAAACAGCCGAAGGATCTGATGTTTGACAAAGCAGTGTCGCAGCTGAAGGAAATTTTCTGGTGACTCGCTATCCTTGTTTAGTATTGGCTATCAATGCCTGAACATCTTCAAACATGAATCGGATGACTTTGGGGCCCTAGCAGACATGATTAACCGTAGATGTGGGCGTTTCAAACTACGCTCTTTAACGGACGATCAGTTTTAGTGTTTCATTTTCGTCAGTGCTCTACGACGCCCCAGTGATGCTGAGATCTGCACGCGGCTTTTAGCTAAGCTGGATCAGGATCCTGATCTGACACTGAAGGCCCTCGTAAGCGAAAGCAAACGGCTGCTCACTCTAAAACACGACACTGCCATGGTCGAGCAGAATGGTCTCGCACCACCGGACACCGTACAATTCGTGAAAAAGGCCAGGACTGTCAACCGAAGCAAACCCTTCAAGTGGTCTACGAACAAACCGCCCACAGCATGCTGGTCACGCGGCGAAGGGTACTTCGCGCGCTTTTGTCCGTTTAAACGTCATCTTTGTCAAACGTGCCATAAGCGTGGGCATAAGGAGGAATTCTGCAGTCAGGTTCGGTCGAAGCAAGTGAAGTCTTATCGAAAGGGGTATTCTAATAAGGATGGCGCAGAGTCTTTGTCCATAGTTGCCGCATTTCAAAGTGAGTGTAAACCGAGACGACGATTTATTAGAGTGTTGATCAACTGGATACCAACAAAACCAATTTGACACGGCCTCGGACATCATGCTTATTTCCAGGAGCACGTGGAATCACATAAAGAGGCCGAAGATGGTCGAGTCTCAGAAAGTTGCACATAATGAATGCATCCAGCGGTGTGTTAAACTTAGTGGGCGAACTCAATTGCAAGATTGCTTATAAAAGTGTGGTGTTATAATTGAGCGAACGCCGCCTCTTGAGGTAATTGCGTGACAAGATTGTCGCTCGCACGGTTGGAGCACGCCTACGATGACGCTAGCTTAGCCGGTGAGACGGAAAATTGAACGAGCGTGGGAACGATCTTAGCCGCACTTGTTCGTATAGACGCTGAGGCCTCGAAAACGGGCGCACACGAGAGGGGGTACGATAGACGCGCGCTAATGACTTAGACGCGAAGGCCGGCCAGCTAACGATTCACACGCAATCACGCGACCCGACCGACTCCCAACTGAGGCGAAGAGAAAGAAAAGATAAGTGGTCCTCTGTAGACTCTTTTACGACCGACAAAGGGCGATCATAGCCAGTGCTATGGGTTATTAAGTTAGGGAAAACAGTCACCACGCAGAGGTGGTAGTTTGCAAATGAACATTGTCGAAAAGTGCGCAGTTGGGACGCGGCTCGGAGTGGCTGAACACTGCTGCGTTGTGGGGAGAAATTGGACTCCGCTTCCCACAGCCATTATGCCGGAGTTACTTGCGCGTTTTTTGCGGGGATTTTTGACGGGCCCGCAACATGTGGAAAAGTCGGGAACGTGTTATATTTCAGACCGACCGAATTTGCTTCTCCTTGGTCTCGACTGTATTGAAAACTTGCAACTCCTCGATGTTCCCTTGAATCAGATCTGCAACCGAGTTCGAGCAACTCCAGACCCATCATCAGGGTCCGTCGAAGACATGACACTTACCCTAAAAGGGGAATTTGCTTGTCTTTCAGGATGACCTGGGCCATTGTGTGAAATTCAGGGCAACGCTGAGCTTGCGACCAGGTGCTAAACCAGTGTTCAGGGCTAAAATCCCGGTACCATATGCAGCCATGTTAACCGTTGATTAAGAACTCGATCGCCTGGAACTTGCTGGTTCATCACGTGATTCGTGATAACTGCATTTGTGCGCCCAGACTTGTCGTTCAACTGTACTGAACTGATGTGAATCTTTCAAGTTTTTGTACTCGATCGCATCATTTTGCATCAATATCTACGGTGGTTTGCCCGACACTTCGTTTCTGTCCCCTTTACTCCTTCACCCTATTGTTATACATTTTCCAATAGTCATGGTATTGATATTAAGTTATTCCACAGCTAGAAACTGATCCATCTGGATGATACGACCATCGTCCTGCCGTTTGACTGTCACGAGCCCCTCTCCAATGACCCCGTCTTATGACATGCGTTTCTCATTTTCAACATGCGATGTGCTGCCGCAGGATGACTGTTCAATTAACAGCTTGTCTTGGTAACTGCATTAATAGCAACAATCGCCTAACCGCTGATTTTAGTTTGCTTAATACAACAGCGTGAGGTGTTTTCATTACTCTGTGGTATCTTTCGCACTCGAGGAGACTGTGCTCTAATCTCAAGACCGCGTTCGCAGGACCACATGGCTATATGTTCTCTAAGAGGGTGAACCTTGGTTCATTTGATTTGTTGATTACAAGCCGCCTCAGGTCTGTGACCATTACTGCATACGGCACATCACTTGCTTCAGGTGGAAGCGATATGTCCACGACAGTTATACTGCCGATGAGCGCAAGGTAGTGATGAACTCCTTGGTTGGTTAAAACAACATATATTGATGAATTAATTATCGTTCCTTAGGCACTTGCTACGCGTACGCACTTACTGAATCCAACTTAAAGTATGTTTCAAGGCTATCATCACTTAACCCGCATGCAGAACTTAGTTACTGACACCTAAGCCGGATGATGTTTGTCCATCTCATATCTTACTTTGATATCCATGCAATTCCTCACTGCTGTTAATATGAGATTCCACAAATTTTGCACAACGCTTGTGGCATGTTTCCTACCAGCTTTGGATGTGTACTTTTCCACTAAATATGTGGAAACCTGTATGTGGGGTAATGTTCGTGTCGACACAGTAAAACAGGGCTACATGGAAGCGTTCTTATCTTCACTCACCATCCAGCTGTTTGCGACGTTACGATGTTTGCCAGATCCAAGTACTTTGACCTCGAATGCCTGCCTATGTGATTTGGTTCTGCGTTGAGTTCCATGTCACTAATTTTCTTGTTTCGTACCAAGAAGTTCTCCGGTTCCCCGTTTGGGTTCTCATGAGATATCACTGACTTCTCACCATGGGCAATGGCGGTTTTCAGCTTACGCTCTTGTCAGCTTCTTCGATTTTGCTTTTCCGGCCGTTGTATTAGAAACAAATTATCGCTTAACAAATAACAAGACAGTTGTTACCTTGGTGTCGCTAGCGTTGGATATTCGATGTCCATTTGAAGTTCGACCTAAGCACCTTGTCCATGCCCACCCTGCTTTGCGCCGTTCATACATCCATGCTAGCTTAAGAAGATTTATCGATTCACACGAGAGATTCCTTCGTCTATCTAACGCTTCTTCCATCACCTGACATTTGTTATTCATTTTCTTTCCTAGACAGTTAAGTTGCCTCTGTTCTTGACTCGTTTCAACACCTCGTGATTTTGATGATACCTGTTAGTGTCATTGTTACCATTCTCGACGTACCAATGAGCCTGCTTTTTCGTTCTTATATTACTCTCTGTAGAGACATTCTGTATGTTACTAGCTCCAAGCACCGCTCTCCGTTGCCTGTTCCTTCTCTATTTCTACTCTAAATGAGAATAGTGGGAGCTACTGATCCAATCTTGGTTGATGTTATTCCTTTGCTTTGTTTATACCTGTCTCTAGTCTTGTCCACACGGAGTGCTGTCTATATGCACAAGAAAACTTTGCGACGTTTACTTACACTATCATTGCATCACTCTTCCACCTCTATTCATTCCTTTTGCTCAGGATGATTGTATCCAATCCGAGGACTTCACAGTACCGGTTTCCGAAGACACTGTTTCCGATCCTTCGACTATCACGATGAATACTCCAGCTTCTCATCTCGCCCACCCCATTTCAGCTGGAAGCATTGATGTCTTGTCAGCTGTCACTTCCAGTTTCAAGGAGTTATCGTCTCTCTTCTCAACGGCAAACATTTCCTCCTTAATTAGTAACGCGGCACTGAACCCTCAGTTGGACGCAATTCAGTCAAAATGGATGTTCCGCCCAGATTTCGGTCTTAACACTCAATTAAAAGAATCTATGTCAGTTGATAGTCGAGCGACGGATCAAGATGGCATAGGAAACGAGCGAGAAATGTTTCCTGAGTCGAATGCATATCAACAAGGTATTGAAATTGCTGCTCCGTCTCCCGAGTTCTCACGTGACCAAATGGATAGGCTTGTTTCTCCAACACTCGAGACCCGCGGAAACGAGTTTGTTCAACTTTATTTCAATGAACCTGCGTTTGTGTTTGCGTACACTAAAAATGGCAGATTCACTGGCCCACATAAGGCAACACATAGTACGGAACTATCCGGTGTTTTGCAGCGATTGCGCAAATTTGCTAGTTATAAGGTTCCTATTCTTGGACGCGCCAACCAGCGACGAGTCGCCGGTTGTCCAGAATGTTCCAAGCAATTTAATCATGGTTTCACCGATTTAAAGAAACATTTGCTTGTTACGCACCTCAACCTTCGACGGGACATAACCCGTTTTGCTCTTGAGTTTACGCATCCAGTTCATAATCCGGTTGCGAGTTGTTCAACCGGATGGAAACAGAACTTGTTCAGTCTACGCGCAACTAGAAATTCCATGAAAACGTTTCGAAAGAGAACTTCAGTGCAATCCTCTCATAATTACACACTTGGCAAAAGACGTACTACTTTTCAGCATGATTCCTGTAAGCCCTCCGCCTCTCCTGTCACATCCTCTCCAAGCGGGCTTCCTGTCCTTGTCAATGCCAATGTACCCGCCTATTCTGGTAGTGCTCCCGTTCATCGCGTCATACCCGGCACCGGTATCTCTGATCAATATGAGGACTTGCGAACGCTGGAAGAAGTTGCTGCCGAAGCTCCGACCGGCCGGGGAGGCGTAATCCATCTGGACGATGAAGGTAACGCCATCGCTGCAGCCCTGGATGCGGCCAGAGCATCGCAACAGACTCTTAGCCCCACAAATTCACAAATGTTTCTTCCAAAATTAGGGCGTCAACATGTACAGCTTGCTTACTCTTATGCAGTCTTCAAGCGTTTATTGGAGGCATACCAGGTTCCGATGGCTGAACGTACACAGTTAGTCAATCGTATGAACCACTACGCACGCATGTATGTTATCATGGATGTATTGGTGCCTGGCGGGGCCCAAAAGCGTTTCTCTTGCCCTATCTGTATGTACACTTCAGTGCATTCGCTTGCTGACATCCGTAAGCACATTATGGGTTCTCACTGTGGCATATCTACCAAGCGATTCCGTCTCTGTTTGAGAGCTTCCCGTCATGATACCACCACTTATCGTCTTCACACAGATGAGAGAATGATTCGTTTCGTGGATGACCACAGGCGCCGTCAGTTACAGATGGCTGGCAAGCAGGTAGCTGATTCAAGCGTCTCAGTGGACAGCGACTGCGAGCTACGCACTACATCCAAATGCTCGATCCCTAATGGTCAGTTTTGTGAATCCACTCAATTGGCTAATCCCCATTCACACGCCCAATCACAAGAGGATCCGGGGACTAGAGCCATTGAACTCGAGACTCAGATTGACAGAGACATTGACCGGACTCACGAAACTTTGCAGATATGTAATATTCGTTCTTTATCTTGCAACCAGACACCAAGTCCTGATACTGCTTCTGGTACTTCACCCTATGACTGTGCCACTGTGATTGCTAACAACATATTGAACGCCCACTCAGATGAAACCTTATACCGAAATGAGGAATTTCGTCGACGCATTGATCTACCCTTTTCTGCCAACGTGCTTCGAACTTTATTAGAACGCGAAGGGATGGAAGACCAGCTGGACGATCTATTGAAAAGGATGCAAGTGTATTCTAGTCATCACCTGACAGTTATCTCTCGTGGAAACCGCATTCATGCCTACATCTGTGTTTGTGGACGCCGGTTCGCAGTGAGTTGTGTACTGTTGTTTTTTTGTGTTTGCGCTTTCCCTAGCGGTTAGATCATGAGTTTCCTTCCCTTCTACTGCTTAGCGCATATGCTGGAATTACAGCTATCAGCCGTTTTCTCCCGCCAGTTGCTAGCCCGAAATATCTTCGATAATTTCAGCCACCTTCACCATACATGCTATTTGGTATTGAAGCTCTTTTCACACCCACGGTAATAATAATAATAATAATAGGTATATTTCTCAGAAAGGTGAGATACGTTCCAGAGACCCTGGACCGATCATTATGTACAAGTTTTCTCTGAAACTGAAATTGTTTATCGGATGCGAGGAGATTCGTATTGAGTGGGATTGGATTCAAGTTGTAATTTATTCTTATGCAGCTCCAACTTTCTTCGGTAGCAAGTATCTCATCGTACCGTTGAACGAGTCGTGGTGCGGATCCACGTAAATAGAAGGGAAATAGCAAGTATTAGTAAGTATTAGTGCGATGGAGGTTGAAAACGTCCTAGGGAATTATGTACATGTGTGGAATCGAGAATAATATATTGTGGGGAGGGTCTCGCAACCAAATTTCTGGACACAGCATAAGGAACAGCAGTATGGGTCTGGCTAACAGGGAAAAATAAGTCCACATTACTGCACAGTATAAAAGGGAAATATTTAAGCAACTACCTTATTATTGTATTGCAGATGTTGTTTACAATTAGGAGGCGCAATACGGATTTCGGATTACTTAAGATGTGTGGGTTGTGGGCTGTGAACAAGAATGCCGAACCTTTAGTAGTTTGGCTAACTGCGCTAGGAGTTTGATTATGCAGGGAATTGGTCCAACAGAACGCCAGTGATATGTTTACGAGGTTACAGTAGTCCTGAGTGGCAAACATATCGATGTTGACAATGTGTCGGTTGATTCACCAGCAAGATATGGTCAAGTGAAAACCGAAGCTAAGTGTTGGGGAGCAAGGTGGGTTGAAGATGTAAAGAAAGGATCCGGGTGCTTTACCTACCAAAGCGTCAGTGCTTTCACAAACGAATGGTAAGTGTGCCAGCGGGTGAAACGGAAGTGAAGTTACGATTGGAGAGACAGTTAACCGAATTTGGGAGTCCAGCTAACCAAGTTGCCAGTGATTCAACTGACACATGGTTGCAGTGGAGCCAAGTAAAATCAAGGGGAAGTATAGTGAGCCAAGATGGGATGAAGAGGATAACAGAAGCCTGAACCTCCAACCCATCGATGTATCAGTGGAGCCACTAATCAGCGGTGAACTTTCGGGCAGGCAGATCCGGAGTGGGCAATAAAAGAGAAGGGTAAGTAGGGAATCAACGGGTGTTTGTTGATCTGACTGATACAGTCATTTGCAACTTTCAGTTATATGTTGTCTGAACCTTGTTCATACGTTTGTTGAATAGTTGTAGGGCAGCACAGGAGCATAATCACATTGCTGACTGTAAGATATTCGTCAAGCTTTCTACGAAAGTTCTACTCAGATGTGCTAGTACGAATATCGGTCGGCAGTTTGTTCCAAATACGGGAGTACCGATTTAGGAAAAAGTTTGCTGATATGTTTCTCTTTGACCTTCTTACCATCACAGAATTTTCTCTATTGCCTGTATTGTATCCATTTGGTTTCATGAGTGATAGATCAATGCTAGGGGTGTGGACATTTTTGTGCAGGATATTGAAAAAAGTGCTAAGTTTACTTTTAGGCGTCGAAGCCATATTGGGTCAAGCTTAAGTAAATCGCATTGCTCAGAATAGGGTAACACTAAGCTCGTACCAATAAGGCGCTTTGTAAACGCTCTTTGTACCTTTTCTATGGCGATACGATCATGCTTCCTGGAATTGCTATACACCATTGAGCAATATTCAAGTAAAGGGCGGGCGAATGATTCATACATTGAACAAATTGAATCTCGTAGAGTAAGATTTTTGAATAGTAATGCAATGCGTTGTTTAGCTCTGGCTGTTGCATAAAATGCTTGTTCTGAGAAGTTAAGGGAATATGAGTAGCGAAGCCCTAGGTCACAGATGGTCTGACAGATAGTAAGTGGTTTTCTATCTAGAGTCAGAGCATTGTGCTTAACATTGCACCTGTATAACATCGCGCTACATTTGTCAGTGCTGAAAGACATTTTCCATGTGTTGCACCAAGCCTCAAGCGCATGGAGGTCCAGTTGGATTTCCATTAGAGTATTGCTGAGGTTGGTAGGATGGAAGGAGTACACTATTTTGATGTCATCGGCGAAAAGATAAGGTGTGCCGCATTTAACTACGCTGAAGACGTCGTTAACGTAAAGTAGAAATAGCAATGGACCAAGAACACTGCCTTGTACCACCCCACTGGTAACAGCCTTGGGTTGAGATTTATGTTGTTGGATTTGTACTATCTGGGAGCGATCTGAGAGATATGAGCTAAACCAAGCCAGTAAGGGGTCCTTTATACCGTAGGTTTGGAGCTTAGCTAGTAGGCGACTATGAAGTACGCGATCGAAAGCTTTTTGCATGTCGAGATAGATGACGATTGCCGATAAGCCACGATCGTGTGAACTGACAAGGTGATTTAAAAATTCTAAGTGACAAGTGATGCAGGACCTGGAGTTCAGGAATCCATGCTGTGAATTGTTTACTAAGTTTCGAGTTAATAGGAATTCAAGCGTTTTCGACTTTACATGTCGCTCCATCATTTTAGACAATACTGATGTGTGACTAATCGGTCGGTAGTTTTTTACGTCGTACAGTGAACCTGATTTACGACGGGGCATCACTGTGTAGTAGCATCTTTCTTCATACGTCTTTTTGCGACATCCCCATCCGTTATCTTTGCTTACGGTCAATACTAACTCCACTTTCTTGGCCAACCATCTGGTTCATCTTACCCTGTTCTGTGTTTACGGTTCTCCGATTGGCAGCTATCATACACTCGGCTCACACTAATCAGTTTAAACTAACGCGAGGGTACTCATCATTCCATGAGCAACTGCTACTCCATTAGTTCCCTGTACGGACTGAGGGCGTCTCACATACTCTCATACATGATGTCGTTCTTCATGTCCCAATTAACTATTAATTTACTTATGGATGTTAGCCGTTTATCCACCTCGCTACACCAACCACCTACACAGCTTTGTGGTGCCGTATAAAACTCACCCAAATCCTGCCAAACGAATTGTTGATATGAGAGGACACGTTTCGTTGGCAATGGCTACACACCCTTCATATCTCGCGGACACTGGTGGTAACTCACAAACATCCGAAATTACGGTGCATTTTACTCGAAACTTCTATAATGTCGTGTCTACGTTTATTATCGCTCTTGCCTAATGAAAAGCCTAGGCAGCGCTTCTTGAATTCGCCCCCCATCTTTGTGCTTTTAGTGGCAGTGCTAGTCCTGACATTAATAACAACAAAATGACAGCATTTCAGCAGCTCCTTCGAGCTCTTTGCTTCTTCACGTAGAATAGTATCGATACAGTACAAATCACTGGCTGTAGTCCTGTCGCAACGAGACTTGACCTTTTCGTGACGCGACGGTTTGCGTACCATCTCTAACCCATTGAGTTATGCAAGGTGGTGCCCCGGACTCCTTGGTAACTCCTTACCAGGTTAGTCAATGGCTAGAGGTCAGACAAACTCAATCTACACGTTGGGACTTTGAAGTAGGATGGCGTCCATTTCTGTAAAACTAAATCATTGCCACCTCCCCGCTGCCCTGCGGACAGGCTTTTGAGCCAAGAGCTTTGGTTGAGGACCCTTATCCTCCTCTTGTTTAGGTCTGTGCGCTCTGGCAGTATCTCAGCTTACATACAATCATGACAATTTCCTCAAACGTTAATTACATTCTGCATCAGCCTTCGCGCAGCTTATCAAGGGTCGCCTTATCTGCTGCATACAGTACGGCGGATAAGCAAAAGCATGCTACTGCTGCCGCCCCTTCTTTCTTTTTCATCTCTCTCTTACTCCTCTCCCAACTCCCATTACTAGCATTCCTTTATAGTTCCCTACTTAATCGACAGCAGCCGTAATGCCACTGCAGTCGAACCATTTGCAGCTACCTTCAATCACCACCCACTGGACCCCCCTCGGCAACAGTCCCTTATAAAGCCACGTTGTCCCGTCTCCTTGGCGGCGTTCAGCGTTCGCACTAAGATAAATTAATCAACAGGTTGCGGATCGGGGAATGCCTTCCTTGTGGAGGTAACTGCGAATAAGTCTAGTCTGCTTCGCAGGCGAGATGAATAAGCAGTCGCGGACAATCAGCGGCAGCGTCTCAGAGCGTGGGGTGTTCTGGGCTGGTCACCTGGTTCTCCATTAAATACCACAAGTGCTGGTACGGCGCTGTGTCAAAGCCAATGTGACCGGCTATAGGGTCACTGACCACTCACTTCTGTAACTGGAAGTGGGTATCTGACCGAGGGCGGATGAACAACCTTTTCGGCCACCGGCTTCTCTGTTGACAGCAAGCGAACACAAAGAAGGCGAATGAGTCACATATCTGTCAACAGTCTTCGTGAATCGTCCCGCTGCCTTGCGGATTAGGCCTTTAAGACCAAAGGCTCAGGGTGGATGACAAATGTAATCGGCCTCCATTCTCGTTCGGCTCCTCACTACGGAACAGGAATCTCGGATTAGGGAAGAGCAGGCAGGTTTCCATCCAGGCCGAAGCTGTATAGACCACATATTCACTTTGCGTCAGGTGTTAGATCAGCGCTACGCATGCCGCACGCCGAAAATAGCTGTGTTCCTCGATTTCAAGAGTGCCTTTGATTCATTCGATCGATGCATTCTGTTCGAAATACTTGCGCAGAAAGGTGTTCCTATGAAATATGCGAACATTTTATCTGCTCTGTACTCAATAACTACAGGCCGCGTCAGGGTCTGCGGTGACCTGTCGCATAGCTGTCCGACAACAAGTGGCGTTCGTCAGAGTTGCCCAATTTCCCCATTTTGTTCAATTTCCACGTAGACTGTGCATGGAGTGTCCCTTTGCGGAATGTCACGATGCATGCGCTGACGTGCTGCTGTTGAAAGGCTAATTGCTCTTGATTATGCGAATGATATCGTCTTGTATTTTAGCAATGTCGATGCGGTGCTATCAACCCCGAATAGCCTCTCTGGAGTTGTCCCATTATTTGGCATGCGCCTCGCACCTTCATAATGCAAAACTGTTGCTGCAAGACTACCAGCCATATGATGACTCTTTGACCCTTGATGGCCAGGAACTCGAAGTAGTTGGTCAATTCACTTACCCTGGCAGCTGTATCAACAACGATGGGTGGTACCAGCGTGTCCGCAACCATGTTGTGCGTAGGCGAGTGATAGTTCATTAGAACCACAGGTAGCACTGAACAGCTTGCGTTGGCTTAGGCACGTACTATGTATGCCCGGTCACCGCTTACCGAAAAGGACCTTGTTTTGTCTGCCAGATGTAGGGTGGAGCAAGGCTCGAGATGAACCAAAGTTAACTTGTCTGCAAGAAATGAAGTCACTGACGACCAAACTGGGTGCCGTCAGTCCGTCTTGCCTTCGAGGCTGGAATCCACGTGAGTCGCCTTGTGCTAGGCTATCGACATTACAGGACATGGTTGGCAGTAGACACCAGTGGGGTGTCTGCTTTCGTATCCTAGTCTGACTGTTTAAAGTGTGTTTGGTGCTGAGTTATTGTTATGATTGAGTCGCCGCTGTTATAATTGAGGGAACGCCGCCTCTTGAGGTAATTGCGTGACAAGATTGTCGCTCGCACGGTTGGAGCACGCCTACGATGACGCTAGCTTAGCCGGTGAGACGGAAAATTGAACGAGCGTGGGAACGATCTTAGCCGCACTTGTTCGTATAGACGCTGAGGCCTCGAAAACGGGCGCACACGAGAGGGGGTACGATAGACGCGCGCTAATGACTTAGATGCGAAGGCCGGTCAGCTAACGATTCACACGCAATCACGCGACCCGACCGACTCCCAACTGAGGCGAAGAGAAAGAAAGGACAAGTGGTCCTCTGTAGGCTCTTTTACGACCGACAAAGGGCAATCACAGCCAGTGCTATGGGTTATTAAGTTTGGGAAAAAAGTCACCACGCAGAGGTGGTAGTTTGCAAATGACCATTGTCAAAAGGTTCGCAGTTGGGACGCGCCTCGGAGTGGCTGAACACTGCTGCGTTGTGGGGAGAAATTGGACTCCGCTTCCCACAGCCATTATGCCGGAGTTACTTGCGCGTTTTTTGCGGGGATTTTTGACGGACCCGCAACACCTCCCTTTGAAGAGAAAGAGTACCGCTTTTGGCGGGGATTGACCTGGAGGGATTTCGGTGACCTCCGGATTCTTTCTGTTCGTCGGCAAGGTGGGTTTTCGAGACGCGGCGGCGATTGAGCGGCTTCGACCGTGGTCTCCCGTTGTGTGACCAATCCAAAGGTATCCAGCAGGATGTGCAGCGGCAGGCGCACGGGAAGGCTGGCTGGCGTGGAGGTTTCTCCGTGGCGCGGACGAAGTTGATTGCGATGGCGAACCCAGGTGTCATCACCCACGGAGACATCATGAAGCATGTCACCTCGCCTGGCCGTCACGGTTGCTTTGATCCAGCGAGGATGACCTGCTCGGTAATCGCGAGCGTAGACTGGAGCTCCGACGGCGAATTCTTTATGCTTGCTGTAGGCACCAGATTGAGTAGGTGGCTTCTCAGTCGGAATGAGTGCATCGTTTGTGGTGCGTAGTTTTCGGCCCATCAATGCTTCAGCTGGTGACTGGCATTCTGGCGTAGCTGGGTTCGGTGTGGACCGGTACGAGAGCAGGAAGGCTTGAAGACACTCATCCACGGTCCCCTCCCCGCGAGATTTCAAAAGCGCTCTCTTGAATGTGTCGACAAATCGCTCCGCTTGACCGTTGGACTGGGGATGGTACGGCGGTGAGCGGAGGTGTTCGACGCAGTGTCGGCGGCAGAAGTCTTCGAAAACGGAGGACGTAAACTGGGTACCATTGTCGGACACCAACACCTCGGGAAGGCCATGTTGACTGAAAATTCGTTGGAGACAAACCAGAGTGGCGGATGCGGTTGGTGGGTTGACGGCGACCACTTCCGGCCATTTGGAATAGGCGTCGACCATGACCAGGTAGGAAATGCCATTGATGGGACCAGCGTAATCGATGTGCACTCGAGACCACGGTTTTGCTGGCGGATGCCAAGGAACCGGTGATTGGTGTGGTGGCATCTTTGAGGCTTGTTGACAATCCTGGGACACGGGGGCGGACTGATTGGCTTTGTCGTTTGGTACTGTCGGAGAATGTACCACGTTGCAGATGGCCCGAAGAGGAAGATCGGCCAAGCCAAGGGTTTCAAGCCAGTCGAGACCAAACACGTTGAGCTTCGGCTTTGTGATGTAGCAGATCGCGTTGAACGTGGCGCCCCGGAAGGAGACGGAGCAGTGCAGCTGCCCAGTTAGCTGCACGCGGCCACCACAGGCGCTGGTGGCAGATTGGGAGGTCGGTTCGAAAGGTGGTTTGCCAAGGGATCGCCAGAGATCCTCGGAGATGATTGTGATGTCCGACGCAGTGTCCAACTGCAATCGGACCGTCTGACCATTGATCAAGACGTCGACAAACTTTCTCCGATCCGCAGCGTTGATTTGGAACGTGGCCAGCAGGCTCAGGGAGCTGCCAACCGGACCAGGTTTGGGTGTGCGTCTGGGTCGGGACCTCTTCTTTGGATCGCGGGTGGGGGCCAGCCCAGTTTTGGCCCCCCTGGGAGATCTGGGGTGGCAGTAACCATCCCGGTGCCTCACCCTGCCACAATGCTGACGAAGATGCAGGCGGAAATTGCAGTCCCGGTGGAAATGCCAGGCACCACAGAATCGGCACGCGTAGGGTGGGGACTTCGCTCGATCGGATTGGGTTGGGCGCGCGGACGATTGCGCCCTCGGTGCTGTGACTGCCTGGACCATACCAGGTGCGGCGGCGTTCTGGATCATGGCAGAATCGTGCTTCAGGTTGAGCAGCGTTTGACACTCCTCGGCAAGGCTCTGGAGTGTGACTGATCCATCCTGTTGTAGCTTGGACAGGAGGTGCGTCCGGATATCGGCGTCGTGTGGAGATTGGAGGCCAGAGACAAAGATCAGGCATTTGAATTGGTCCTCGGTGAGCGAGCCAAGTTGAAAACGTTGGCATTCCCGGTTGACCACGCCCGCGTACGTGATGAAGTCATCGGCATCACGTTTGGCCAGCTGCAGACACTGATAACGAGCATTGAACAGAGAGGACTGCTCGCCAAAAATCTGTGACAACGTTCGGACCGTGTCGTCAAAGGTAACGTCCCGTGGGTTCCTCGGCAAGATGAAATTGGTGTAGCGCTGGTGTTCGAGGGTACCAAGTTTGCGAAGAAGCAGCCGGACCTTCCACGCGTCGTCCTGGCAAGCCAAGTCAACGGTGAACAGGTCCTCGTACCGCTTGTACCAGGATTCGAACGTTACCCCGGCCTTGGCGTCGTACAGAAATTCGCTGATGCCGCTAACCACCTGGTCCACTGACTGAGAATTGGCGCTCGGACCTGCATGAAGGGAAGAACTGGAAAGCCTTTCGGTTAACACGGACATCAATTTAAGCTGTTGCTGCAGCATCAGTTTTAAATCTGCGTATTCGTCAGTCATGGTTCGTCAACTCTGTCGCCACTGTTATGATTGAGTAGATTGCCTTAGTCGTCGCCGCTGTTATAATTGAGGGAACGCCGCCTCTTGAGGTAATTGCGTGACAAGATTGTCGCTCGCACGGTTGGAGCACGCCTACGATGACGCTAGCTTAGCCGGTGAGACGGAAAATTGAACGAGCGTGGGAACGATCTTAGCCGCACTTGTTCGTATAGACGCTGAGGCCTCGAAAACGGGCGCACACGAGAGGGGGTACGATAGACGCGCGCTAATGACTTAGACGCGAAGGCCGGCCAGCTAACGATTCACACGCAATCACGCGACCCGACCGACTCCCAACTGAGGCGAAGAGAAAGAAAAGACAAGTGGTCCTCTGTAGGCTCTTTTACGACCGACAAAGGGCAATCACAGCCAGTGCTATGGGTTATTAAGTTTGGGAAAAAAGTCACCACGCAGAGGTGGTAGTTTGCAAATGACCATTGTCAAAAGGTTCGCAGTTGGGACGCGCCTCGGAGTGGCTGAACACTGCTGCGTTGTGGGGAGAAATTGGACTCCGCTTCCCACAGCCATTATGCCGGAGTTACTTGCGCGTTTTTTGCGGGGATTTTTGACGGACCCGCAACAGTTATCTGCGGGGTAATGGCTGATTATAACGCGGGGCGGTGAAAGCCGCAACGAAACTGTCCCACTGATGCCGCCTTATTTTTGCACCGTTGCCAGCTGTTTGTAATGGCATGTTTTTGCCAATGTGTAGGCACCTGGACCCTGAATGTTTGCTTAGGGCATTAAGGTTTTCCGGTAAGTCGGCCTTCTCTCCTTCTTCGTTTCGTAGGTCCTTGTGGTTGCATGGCAGCGAAGCATGAGTTCACATGACTGATGTACTGCTGTTGTTGATGGTGATGATGATGACTGGCTGTAGTCTGCTTTTTTCATAAAAATTGGCTTATTTCACCCAAAGTTGACCGTTTTTCACGCTGGGTGTTGTAGACCGTCAAGTCCTGATCTCATGTATTTTCTCCTTTTTGCCAAGAATGATATTCATGTATTTGTGCCTTTGTTCACCCATAACTTCAACTTGGCACTTTTGTGCATGAAGACGCCTGGATCTTCCCTGTTCTCAGTGTTTCATCTCTTTTACATTCCCAGGTTATACGCGATGATCTGGACAACGATAATCGACCTGCTAGTCTCGCCGATTGCCGTCGACATATCCTTGGAGTTCATGCTCGGGTTCCACAAGAATTACTCACTTTGTGCTGTCAGGCTTCTCGAATTTCCAAAGAATCTGGCTACAAATTATACTCCGATTCTTCGTTAGTTGCATTGGCTGAGCAACACAAGTTCAGAAATTCGCGAACTCAAGGTTGCCGTGGATCTTCTCCCTCGTGTATTGCTGATACATCAGCGACCAGTAGACGTTCCGAAATGTCTGATTCCAGTGCCTCACCTTCCGGTTCAGGATTTGGTCTTGGCCAATGTGGCACCGATCAGATTGTCCATCGCCAGTCAACAAACGATGGCACCGACTCCTTACCAAAGAGCACTGTGAGAAAATGCGAGGCCAATGAGCCCACATCAACCTTACAAGAAAGCGCGAATGTCGGACAAGAAAGTCACATCAACACCTCACCAATAACTCGCAAACTTGACATGCCGCTCATTCGGTCTTCTGCAAATTTTCGTGGTCTTGACCTTGATCCTCCGCATCGCACTTTGACACCAGGAGAGGCCAACGAGTGGGGAAAAGTGTTGTCCCTACCGGAATCTTGGACCTTAGAACGAATTGTCCGCCTTCCTTATAGCGCAAGTTTCTTCGACGAGCAACTCAAATCTATGCTTCCGAATGATAATTCGTTCATTAAAACCCTCCATGATCGTATGCGTTATTATGGTCGACATTCCGTGTACATTGTGCGCCTGTGTACTCCTACCAACTCGACACAGCGCATCTACGCATGCTGCGCCTGTCTCTCAACCTCTCAGCACGGGTTCGGGGACGTGCGAAAGCATATTCTTGGGGTTCACGCCCACGTCCCGGAACGCTTTAAAACATTAGCTATGAATTCCAGTCGGTTAAACCGCGAAGATTATTCCTTGCAGTCTGAACTTCAGTTACTCCAGTCGTCCACCACTTCTTGGCATTCATCCACCGGCAGTCAGTCTCGATGGTCATCAGCAGCTTCCAATAAAGCCCCTGCTGGCTGCTCTCGGGTACTTCGACGCCGCCGACAGTCGACTGATTTGTGTTCATCTCCTCAACTTCGATCTGCCAGCCCGCTTCCTAAAAGGAGGCCTTCTGAATTCGAGCATGATCAGGATGGGTTAATCAGTGCCACTTCTGACCGTGAAAAGAATGTCGTAGTGTCCTCAGATCCCAACGATGCTCGCGCTACTGCATGTGATCCTTCCTCTTTCATCGAAGCTCTTCCCTCTCAAACTCCGAGACCTCCGATCCGTTTGACTTTACCGCGACCGAAAGCGTTTCATTCGTTTCATAGTCAGGAACGTACTACTAGCCCCCTTATGCGCCCACCAATCCAGACAGGGAAGTCACTGGGTGAAAACGTCCACAGTGAGGCACATCGGGTTTCTGGCGGTTCTCGTAGCCGTCGATCAATGATATTGAAATCCAAACGCCCTCTCCCAACTACTATTTAGTCTGCGGCGCTTGTCTTGGTTTTATATTCCGAATTTTGTTACATTTAGACGTTCACATTTGAGAATCCGGTCCCTTGTACATACCTGTGTATATCTCATCTATTGGGAACATGTCTACTCAGTACTTCAAGTTCTTTGTTTCGCTGCTGAATGTGAATTGGGCACCACACAATGATTCTTTTTACTCCACGATCATTGAACTCGTTTCAAGGTTCACTTTTTCTGTATGTTTTGACGTTGCCTTGTGCCCTCACACTGACGTGTTTGTGTGTATATTATCTCTCCTACACCCTTGTGACTTTTCGGGGCCAGTTCTGTCATTTTTTTACTTGCACAGTTAAATGTTTATTCCCTAATTGGCCATTGATTATTCCTATGTGACTCTACTATGCTCGGTAATAGGGGTTTCCGGTCGCATGGTTTCGCTCATCGGTCTAGTTACTGTCACAGTGATAAGTCGCCATAACGAACTGTACGAATTCGCGAAAATTTTTAAGACCGCGCAATGTCATCACTGTGTAGTAATTTATTTCTATACACGGAGAGTTCACTATAACGGACTGATTTCTGAGGTCTCCAATATTTCACTAAACTGGTGTTTCACTGTACTAAGAATCCTCTCCCTTGTTTAACGCTTCTCATTCAATCACTCATCTGCTTCGAGCACTCCACGTTTATTTCTACCTTCGTGCAGTCTGTTCTCTTCTTAGAGATATTAAGTTTAATAGTATCCACCATCCCTCGATCTACCTACTTGGTGTTCGCATGTTGGTAACGGTGCCTGCCTACATCACTTGGTTTGAGGCTACACTAACGTTTATCTTGTCGATAATGCTCGTATGATTCTCACTGACTACGCACAGCATAACCATTTCTCCGCGCCTGCGCCCGCACACGCGATTGTCTTCACGAGGTTCGTTTGGTACGCGACTCGACTCCGCCGGTTGCGCGTTTGTATTTGCCCCGTGCGCTCGTATTGATTCTCGTTCCCGGTGGATGTGCGACTGACGCTTGGCGCGTTCCGCTCAGTGTCGCCAGTGTGCACCGTTATTTGTGCTGCCCTGCATGCACAGACACACCCACAATACCCACGCACCATCAGCGGTTGTTACTGCTGTTGCCGAGACGCGCCTTGACCTGGCTACCTCGTTTCACAGATGTTCATCCGACTTGGCCTTCTGCGAATGGCCCGCATCTACCCGTTTGTCTGCCAAGCTACCGCGTTCACATCGACACGTCGCGCCATCGGCTGCAGTCGCAAATGGAAGCTGGATCGTCGCGCCGGCAGTTTGTGCTGCGTTTGGTGTATGCATTTTCGCTGAGTCACGTTACTAGCCGTTCAGCCCCACACATCTGCAGTGTGCGCTGTTTCCATCGATGCACCTTTCGCGGTCGATTCCATTCTCGGTTGACTTCGGGTTACATCGTATCACGTTCGCGTGCAAGCATCGCTCTACTATCATACACTGAACCGTTGCTACCTATTGACTACATCAAGGAAAACTTGCCGGATTGGTCGGCGGAATCCTGCGCAAGTCGGTTTATCCGGGCCTGCAAATTAGCAACCAGCGGCTGTCCGACTTGAAGTGAGTAGTAGCCATTCACTGACCAGAAGGCAAATTTCACCATTGTCCTGGGTTACCTTTCAGATCTATCTAAGCTATTCAGCTTAAATTTTGTCCCACAAGTTAACTGAGAGCTGTTAGCTCTTTCTCAGCTGGGAATCAAATCAAGAGTGATTTTGTCCAAGCTGTGATTTTGAAGCCATTTGGAACTACCAGCCTAACATCGGATATAAAAATGACCATTGATGTCGTTCCGTAGTCTAAAGGATCACAATCCTACCTTGTAATCCGAGGGCACGAGTTCGAATCTGCATAGGAGAGGAGGCGACCCTCGCAGTATCCTTAACCCACGCGCGACTGTTGGTGGTTATGCGGCAGCGAAGCGTTGGCACGGCATACTGCTGATAGTATATATTTTAAGCACAATTTATGCCACTTGACGCCTCCGTCGGGAACGCGGTGGTGCAGCGGCCAGTCCCAGACCATCTCCACGTGGTGCACTGCTTATTCCGGATGTGTCCCCCGTAGCCTAGTGTTAACAGGCTTGTCTCGTATTCTTGCGGCGCGGGTTCGAATCCGCGTAGAGGTGGGCGCTCTCACGTGTGGATGATGGTGGTCGCACGGCAGCGAAGCACCGTTACGGCGTACAGCTGACACATTATTGTTATGATTATTATTATGTGTCCCTCTTGTTGAGCCAGATATACTTACGTGCGTTTGTGAGCTTCCGACGACCATAACGCTGACCAGTGAGACCATGAAACAAGGTCGCAACCAACCCCCACCTTCGGATCACACGAGAGATCACGTCTGGAAATGTTCTAACCTCTGCGCGGTCTGATCCTGTGTCTAGCATTGATCTGGATTTTCGGCTTCCGTAAGTGATGGATACACCCAGACAACTGTGGTCGCACGTGTGAGCTGTCCGGTGCATAGACATCAAATGACCTTCGGCATAGACTAGTTGGACAGTGGTTGTCTGCCTAATCGTTGCACTTTGTTTTCTTAGGCCTCGAGACTATTTCCTTAGATTGGCAGAAGTTAAGTTACCCAATAATGAAAGATCATGGGGCGGCACCCATTTTGCAGAGGAAATCGCTTCCGGTGCGCTATTGTCTCCGGTTCATCCAACATCTTCGCTACAATCTTACCTTGGAAGCGTTCCTCATAATTTACTTGTTTCTGCACCATCTTCACTGACACACACGTGAGTCACCAGGAAGCCGTGCAGATACCAGTGTACTGCTAACCACTTGTTCGCTGTCGCAGTGCCCTATTCGCACCACTCAAGTAAATGCCCATTCTCATTTGTTATTCTCCAATGAATTGCTGATAGTGGAAGTAGTCTATATAGTTCCCATCTCTCAAAGTAGTTATCTGAAAAGATCGATTCAATGTCCAGTTTGTGGGTACGCACTCCTTGTCTTGCACTAAACGATATGTAGCTCGTTCATTGTTGAATTATTTTAGAAGTGATCCTCAGAACTTGCGATCACTAAGACCGTACTCATTAGAGGCGTTCCAAACACTGCGCCTCACGGCCGCTTTCATCTCTGTCTAGAGCTATCGAGTAGTGCTGCCCTGATCTTGGAATCCAATCATGGACAGTGCGGTTGTTGATTGGCCCATCTGTCCTTACTCTTTGCGTGTAGGGCTTATCGTCCATGTGAAGAACTCATTGTAGATGAATATTGGATGTTGCCCGCCCGAAAACACTGCACTTTACTACCGGGTTAGAACTTATTACTTCTCATCAGGTAGAGATAGCAAGCATCGAACCCGGGACGTTAGTTGGGACCTCTACTGCTTTGGCCACCTGGTCACGACGGGCAAAGATTAATGACTGATTGGAGGGCCATTTTGAATTACTCCTTGTGTGAGTGGATTACGGTTGGCAATCTCAATGTGCACCGTGATTCGTATTGAGGAGAACCTTGGTCAATCCGATTACTAGGACAGTAGCTGACGAAGCGCATGAATATTGGGTGTTGCCCGCCCGAAACCCTGCACTCCACGGCGCGTTTCGACCTTGTTTACTCTCATCGGGTAGGTATACTAGACATCGAACCCGCGTTTATTGACATGTTAGTTGAGAGCTCTACTCCAACCGAGTTCGGTGCCTGCTATCTGTACCTGATGAGATCACAGAAGTTCGAAACCGGTCCTGGAGTGCAGTATTTCGGGAGGCCAATATCCATGCGCCTCGTCAGTTACTGTCCATCATCATTATACACGTCAGCTAGAGGTGGGAAAACACCTCCGCTATTGTGCCGCAATACATGAAGGAAATACATATATACATATAATACAATACACAGTAAAAATAGATGCAACAATTGCATGCCAGCTGAGCTACCAGCAACGGATAGGCATCGTTCCGGTAAGCTACCAGCCGGCTACTAGGCAAAAAGAGAAAAAAATTTATTATGTTTTACCCTACGAAATGAGATCGTAGATGGAGGGGACGGCTAAAAGGGATGGGGAGGGACAAAGAAACTCACAGCACAAACGCCACTGAGGTCAGCTCCTTGCCATGTCATCAAGTGTATCCAGCCAAACGTGTTCAGGGAGCCGTGACGCTCCAACCGAGTCTAGCTCCGAAGTGAGGAACTTCATTCTCCTTGACCAAGTCATCGCTTGACCACCTCTCCTCTTCTTCCACCCACATCCCCGGTGAGCAAACAACGCACGTCGTGGAAGTCGGTGGGCTGGCATGTGTAACACGTGGCCGAGCCATCGGAGCCTGGTGCGGGAAATAACGGTGCTGAGCGGTTCATTCCCTTTTCCTGGGCCGTAAACAATGCGTCGAACACGCTCGTTACTTACGCGGTGTTCCCACCAGATGTGAGCCAAACTGCGAAGGCACCGATGGTTGAACGTAACTAGCCTCTTCATGTCCGTCGATCTTAGGGGCCAGGTTTCGCAACCGTACAGTAAGGTCGAACGTACCGCTGCATTGTACACTCTACCCTTCAGGGCGAGAGTGATGTCGCGCCGCCGCCATAGGTGGCGAAGGTTAGCAAATGCACTTCGAGCCTTCGCTATACGGTTCGTGATCTCGTCTTCGATCCCAAGGGCGCTGATACAACTTCCCAGGTAGTTGAATTTCCGAACGACTTCTAGCTGATCTCCACCAAGGGTCAGCGCAGGAGGCGATCCCTGCCAATCTTGGAGGAACGCTTTGCACTTCGATGGGGCAAAGCAAAGCCCGAAGCGGCTGACACTCAGTGCTAATCTGTCCAGCGCGGCTTGGCACGTCTGGGAGCTGTCACAGATGAGGTCAATGTCGTCTGCATGCTCCAAGTCAAGAAGTCGTTCTCCTGGGAGTAGCTCCACACCTTCCAAGTCAAGTTCTGTAAATGCAAACTCCATGGCTTCGTCAATAGCGAAGTTAAAGAGGAAAGGTGACAGCGGGCATCCTTGTCTCACACCGCTGGAGATATTGAAGGGTGGCGACAGGTTGCCGTAAGTCCTCACTTTGCCCGTGCTACGCGCATATAATGCTTGGATAATATTTACATATTTCTCGGGCACACCTTTTCTGAGTAAACAATTCCAAAGGGCACATCGATCAGCCGAATCGAAGGCACCTTTGATGTCGAGGAACACGGCTAGGGTGGGCCGCCAATATGTGTGATCGGATTGATCAAGCTTCACTTCAATGGGAGTTGCGGTCCACATTAGGATTGCGGGTGGCAATCCATTCACACGAGTGCTACAAAATGACCCTCCATTGTCTGTTTCAATTGTTAAGCATCTGAATGTAAATAAGTATGTTCACTGATCTTCCACTGGTCTCGATTACGCGCCATATCTTGAATTGTACCCAGCCATCGACACTCTTCGTCATTTGCTCCCCATCCATGCAGTCCTGTGGATCCAACGGCAGCAAGACTTGAAGTCAACGATTTCATATGCTGTCGCCACGTGGACGGTTGACCACTTCGTGGTCTTCCAACCAAGTCCTGCACGAGCGAAAAGGACGCACTAGGGCAAATGCTCAATTGACATGTGCAGTACGTGACCAAGCCGTCTTAATTAAAGCAACAAAACCAGCTTGTTGAATGGAATACTCGCATTCCCTAAGACACGACGTCTGA